TGCATTTATGGTAGATATAGAGCTCTGGATCGATTCTGGATACTTCTTTAGCAGAGCCTGTAATCGTAAAGTATCCAGTGTTGTTCGTATAAACATCGCCCAGCAAGCGGTCAAGCACTGAAATTAGGATTGAAATTGAGCTCAGCTTCGCAACTCTGGCTTACAGATCTCGCTTTCGTACAGCTTTATTTTCACTTTAGCAGCGGGTTTGCCATTACAGAGGAGGTTCCCCTTTGCTCCAACTGTCTGCATTTTACCAGTTTCAAAAATACAGTAGCATAGCGGGAGAAAGCACAGCAAAATCAACGTTCGCATTCTGTTAATATGCCGATTATTTGCCGTACAAAAGCAATGTTTTGGAGAAGCGATACGAATCAGTTGTCGGCGTTGAAAAGAATAAATAACCACATTTTTTGAGTTCAACGCTCCCTTGTTATTGAATTTGGGCATGGAATATGCGTCAATAGAGTACTGTAGGTGACGCGAACTCTTTTGCGGAGACTTTATTGATCTAATGTTTCGACAACTTTGTCAACATCAGAGGTCTAACAGCGGGTTGTATTTTGACTTGCTTACCATCATTTAGAGCTCCTCTTCCCGCTTTGTCAGTTTACATCTAATCTGAGATTTACAGCATGAATTCCTCAAAACCGGGAAACGAACAACTCTTGACCAGCTAGCGACAGACTCGCATTTGATGTTGAACATATTTCACTGAGTGTCATCTAGTGAATCGAGGACTTTGATGTGCAAGAAATGATTTGAGTCACTGCTGATAGATAAGCATTCATATAAGTTCAGCTTTGTAATTCTGATTGAAATCCAGCGGCTTCAAACAATCCCATAGCGCAAATCTCAGGATTTTACGGGCCTTGTGAAACCTAATTGCCCGCGCCGTGTCTTGAACACCGCATAGGCGAGCGATTTCTTGGCACTCTAGGTTGTCTCCTTCGCACATCCATGTTGTTTCCGGCGATGCACAATGTTTTAGGCGAAAGTGTTTTCAAAATTCTATCAAAAGTCCAAGGGAGGTGGGCATTCAATGTCACCGGTAGACAACTCCACGTCCCGAGCCGGTCCGCCTGCTGGTCTTCAAAGCAAGGCGCAGACAATCGCATCTTAATCACGTCTGCAATGCTGTTCAATCCTAGTTCCTTAGGATGTTGTTTCTTCGTCCTCTACTGACCAAATGCTTTTAATCCTTAAAGCGAGACTTCTAGCGTTTCCCGATAAACAGTCTTGGCAGCTTAGACATTCCAGCTGGTATACCATAACCGTCTTCGCACAATCTCCTATGCCATAGGGACAAACAATATCCTTAAATCTCCATGTTCCGTTATCATTAAACCTGGGGTTCGTAAGTGTCGAGCACTGCTGTGCCGAACAGGTTGGTAGATGGTCCTTTATTCGTCAGTCGGCCTTCGTTTCGACGCTTTCGTCTTCATTAGAGGCCTGGAATGGTTCAAAGCTTCGTCCGCAACTCGAGCCCATGAAACGTCTCCACTAGCCATGCCAGTTCTCGGCGCTTCCCTGAATCTAGTGCCACAAACCACCTACCAACCTGTTCGGCACAGCAGTACTCGACACTTACGATCCTTAAATCTGTTTCATAGCAACTGTTCCTCCCTATATTACGTTTGGAATATTAACATTAAATCATCTTGCAGTTGAGCTTTATGGGATACACTAGTCCGTCACCTCCGCTTTGCAAAGGCTCCATTGGCTCTGTTATTTACATGCCTTTCTCTCGCTCTCTGGCGGTAGCTTTGAAACCTATCATGCGATGCCGACCATTACAAATGAATGTAAACCCTCACTCATTCCTCACTCTATTTCATGTTAGATGGGTAACTTCGAAAAGAAAAAACTTTCCTAAAGGAGAAAAAAATGTGAATGTGAGTCGCTTACTAGACTTAATTTGGCTTGATAGTCGCGATAAAGACAACGACTGCCGTGCGCTACATTTCTGAGCAGAAATTTCTCAAAATTATTTGACATAGCTTTTACGAAAAGGTCACTAAAGCAATCATTTCTTTCTCGCGGCAATTTCGCATGGAAGTAGAATTTTGCTTACTTTTTAAACCGAAGTTTGGCTTGCATATTCAATGGCCAATCATATCCATAACTTTGCAAAAAGTCGTAGTACGGACCCGCTTTTACAAGCCAAAGGTCATGTGGGTCCGTGGCGCTCAACTTGGATTCGCACATGCTTCAGCATATTGGACCTACATGCTAGTGGCATGCGTTATGCAAAATTTGGGCTCAACTTCTTGATTGACTCTCTCTCTCTCTCTCTCT